CTGCTGAAAAAGATCGAAAGCTGCTCAAGGTCAAATGAATTTCATTTTCTTTCATGTGTGTGTGTTGCAATTAAAAGGCAAATTCATCTGCAAAGAATGGTCCATAGTAGCTTCTTTATTGAGTACCAGTGGACAATGTTTTAAGATCAAAAGAGAACAGCTGTGAAAACACTCTGAATGAAATGTAGACAGGTATCAAAATGCAAATTCAAGTGGTTTATAGCTAGGTATAAGCACTGTCCACACTGTGAACACATGATATAACAGCAAATATAAACTGAAGATGTTATATTCTTATGATTTGGCACAAACAGGGCTGTTCTTGATTCTACCACGTTCTTTATCTAACAATTACTGTCAGTGTAGCTTTTTTGTTGTCCTTTTTTTCCCCAAGAAGTTTACTCTTGTGGACATCAAACTAGCTATCAGGCAGAAGTAAATCAGATATGTAAGAGGAAAAATATCTCTTCTTTCTGTGCAGCACGTCATGCTATGTGACCTGTCTGTAAATCTACTGTCGACTCTCCAGTATCTAGGGTTAATAAGTGAAAGCAAGAAGGTATTTACTATCTGGAATGTTAGGAAATGTGTTGGAAAAACATTAAAATATAGAAACTCACTTGCAGGGCACAAGAGATAATATTTCTACGGTAGCCCAGTATTGACAACTTGAGGCTGTTTATTGTGGAAGCTGGTCTGGGGCATCCCTGCCTTGTAATTGTTTCCATCGCCAGTCATTGGCCCAAATTGATCCACTGTTGGCTTATAATTCTGGAGCCATATAAACTGCCCTGAGCCAGACTGAGCCTGTGAAATGTCTGTTAGGAACCATTTTTTATTTTTTCCATGGAAAAACTCAGTGTCTAGAGGTTACGCTGTGGAAGATCCTGCAGAATCAGGGCAGTATGAGATTCCTTGGAATGTCACATGGATAACTGCAGAAATCAGTTGGGTAGGGATCATAGTCATACAGCATGTTTTTCTTTGTGGATTTCTTCAAAACCTGCTAAGGATTGGGATACCTTATGGTTTTTAAAATTTTTATATGGCTAAGCAGAATCAGTTGAAATGAAAAATATTCACTGCTAAAGACTGGTTCTAAAAAGTATGAGATTGAAAGATTATGGGTTTTCACAGCTTCATTTTTTCTCCTTCCTAACAGTAACTCTAAGTTTTGAGGGTTTTCTGTATATTAATTTGTCTGGTGGATAAGAGAGTACTTGCCACTGTCATTCAATGATAGTTTGACTTTGGTATGTGTTTAAGCCTAGACCAAAAGATCTCCCCCTACGAATGTTACTGTAAGAGTATTTCAGTAAGGTAGAGATAATAAGTCTGGTGATTCCCAGTGTTTGGGCTACAGCATGCCTAAACTAAGGTAGCTTCCAGGCTGGGGGTGGTGAGGTGCCTGGGAAGCTTCCCAGGTGCTGTGGGGCTGGTATGGAAGCAGAGAAGGAGCCTTAATGAACCAGAACGGACCCTGTGCATTGTGCATCACCCTTTCCACAAGTTCCACAGTACTGGCAGTGTCAGTGCTTAGCATCCAAGTTATTGAAATCTCTGGCTACCCTGAGAGCTGGAGAGTCCACTTTGTAGTCATATGATAAAAAGAATCCATTGAGTCCAACCATTAACCTGCCACTTTGCTGGAACCCCTAGACCATATCCTCCAGTGCCAGATCCAGACACCTCTTAAACACTTCCAGGGGTGATGACTCCACCAGCTCTCTAGACAATCTATTCCAGTGCAAACATCCTTACCTACATTAACTTGGAAAAAGAAAAAAAAGTGGTATGAAAAATAATTATTCCCAATAAGCAAAATCATTTGATTGCATCCTTCTTATTTTCTTGATATCATACTTACTATTTCGCTATTAAAAAAAAAAGAAATAGCCCTTACAAACCCTAAATAAAATTTTAACATCTATTTATAATTACATAGATCTTAACTATGGTTAAATTACCCAACAGGGATTAAATAGCAGGAATAGCCTGCCAACATCACAGCTGAGACGAGCTTCAGGAGTTTCTGGCATGTCACCTACAGAATCAACATCATCTAGATGGGAAAGGAGCAACATCAAGAGATCTCATCAGGAATATAACACAGCAAGGTAAGTACTGAACCATATTTTAATGGCAATAATAACGGTGGAACTTGGCAGCAGAAGTATTTAATGTAAAATCTTGTGAATTAAGTTTCCAAATTCTGCCAGCATCAGCTGGAAAAGTTAATTATATACTATGTTTTTAATTCTGTTTGATCTTAATAGAAATCAGGTCAGTCTGAGGTTATAAGGCATCCTCTGTCATTATAAGTAGGCCTACGTATCGGTTTGAGTAGGAAACCAAAAAGAATGTCCAACATATACCATTGCAAAACAAACTAGTTTAGTCTCTAAACTTGTACTGATTTCCTCCTTCTTTTTATTTAAAATACGTATCACTTTCCATCTTCCATATACCCATATAGAGTATACACTGACAGAGTTCAATAAATACTTGGACAATGCTCTTAGGCACATGGTATGTTTCTTGGGGATGTCCTGTGCAAGGCCAAGAGTTGGACTCGATGATCCTTGTGGGTCCCTTCCAGCTCTGAATATTCTGAGTGATTCTGTGATATATAATTAAACAGGTGATATAACTTTCTTGTGTTTGGTAGCCACTGTTGTGTGTATTGAAACATTTTTTATTCCTACAGTCATCAAGCAAGTGGGAAGGTAGATTAAGGAAGTCATCTCTTCTCTACTTGTTAGTCAATTTAGTGCAAATTGGGCTTTCATTTCCAGAATTAAGATAACATTTTGAATTAGGATTAATTTTTTTCTTTTTTTTTTTAATGTTATATATGAGTGCAAATTCACACATTTAGTTCAATTTAATGTGTGCTCCTGAAATCCATAAAAATGTGTGTGGTTTTGGAGTTTTTTTAAAATGGTTCTACATAAGTCATAAGGAAAATATAGCAGTTTCATTTTTTAAAATCGGTTATGTTGATAACTGATAATTACTAGTAGTGGATAAAAGTTTATATATGCACATCCAAGAATTTGTTTATCAGTATTATATTTAATTTTATAGTGAGACATTTAAATAATTTGCTTTGTGCAGTGACTTTTCCCCTTGAATAAAATATGCTCTTCAAGTTTTTACACAGTAAAACTTTATTGTGGTTTGTATATAAAATCTAACTGAAATTTCTAGTGCTGGCACTAATAGTCATTTAAAGATTATAGTTTCATGCTGATTTTGTTGCCAGTGTTTGAAAGAAACTACCCAGTTGTAGCCACTGGAAATAACCAGAGACAAGAGAAATTACTTTAACTGTAGCATCCATATGACCTCAGTTTGATGCTCAGATCGTCTGGTGCAGACACAGTGTACATTTAGAGAGGGTTTCCTTACAGCTCCTACTGAGAAAAACCTCCACAGTTTCACTTGGTTCAAAGTAGCAGTATGGAAAACACCCTCACCTAGAATAGTTCAGTATTTGTGTGGTTGGTGTCCTGCCCTGCAGAGCTCTTGCACACACAATTGTAATGTCCTGGTCTCCTCACATCTTCCAGCGATTATTCTTATCAGGTTCCCTTTAACTTCTAATACGTAATCATCTCCAAAGCTCCCATGGGTGCTTCCTTTACAGATAAGGTTAGATGAAACAGCTGCTCCTGCTGCCAAAAGTCAGTCCTGCATTCCTAGAGCACTTTGTGCCACTGACTCTGGCTTTTGAATCAGACCTTTAAAGCTGACTGCTTTCAACTGAATTCTAGCTGAATTGAAAATGATAAGATATTACATAGTGGTGCAATAAATTAATATTACTACAAAATTTGATTTAATATTTCAGGATTTTTTTCTATCCATTCAGACAGTATTCAAAAGCAACTCTTGAGAGCTGCTGTTAGATTTGTATGCAAATTCTTGATTTGGCTTTTCAGTCAGACATTAGCTCAAGATGAACTGACCTTGCTTAATATATAGTTTTACTACAGTAAATACTGTTGCAGCATTTTTAGGTACTTGAAAGTAATACATGTAAGCTGTGATAGCTAAACAATGTACAAGCAGTCAAAAGATCAATAAATCCCATTTGTCAACCCAAACATTCCTGAAAGTTGACTGCCATGTCAGCATCAGACTTCAAAAGAATCACAGAATTGTTGGGGTTGGAAAGGACCTCTGGAGATGCCAAGGCAGGGTCACCTAGAGCAGGTGACACAGGAATGTGTCTAGGTTGGTTTTGAATGTCTCCAAGGAGGGAGACTCCATGACCTCCCTGGGCAGCCTGTCCCAGTACTCTGCCACCCTCAATGTAAGGAGGTTCTTCCTCATGTTGAGGTGGAACTTCTTGTGTTTAATTTATGGCCATTGCTCCTTGTCCTGTTTCTGGGCACCACTGGAAAGAGCCTGGCACCATCCTCTTGATACCCACCTTTGAGATATTTGTATGCATTAATGAGATCTCCTCTGAGTCTTCTCTAGACTAAACAGGCCCAGCTCCCACAGTCTCTCCTCACAAACAAGTGCTTCAGACTGCTAATCATATTTGTGGTCTCTGCTGGAGTCTCCAGTAGCTGGATATGCAGAGAAATATATCTGTGTTTATTCTTCAACTAATTTTTTATATTTGTATATTTAAACATCTGATGGGAGATCAAGCATTATTTCTGTATTTGACTTCTGTTTCCAATCTGATTAAGCAAGATTAAAGCTGTTTTGGCAAATGCTATTTTTCCTCACTGAAGTGAGATATATAATTTAACATTAACTATTTTTACTTTGAAGTACATGTATAGAGCTATTTTTAATTGCATATTACATTTTGTTTGCTAAAGGGAATTTGTTTACTATTTGGAATTTGGGAATGAAATTTCGTGCCTAGAACAGCAGATGGCAGAATCCAACAATCGAGTGGAATCATATGACTACTGAAGCACAATCTGACTTGATGTCAAAACGAGCTTTAGTTTTAAGATGACAATATTAAATATACAAAATTTATTTGAAAATCTCTGGGGCCATGTAAAAATGTTCACGGTATTTTCAAAGGAATTAATCCTCTAAATATTCTCAGATCTGTTAGAAAATCACCTGCTTTGTTGAAATGTGTGAGGGAAGTAAAGAGCATGTCAGAAAGTAAAATCTATAGCTTTGGTCTGAGTATACTGATTGTGTCATTTTAGGACTGTATAAAGTTTTCTGTTGCTTTAACCCAGTGCCCAGCAGTTTTTATTCCATATAATTGACATATATTGTCTAACTAGAATTTGACTTCTTTCTAGTGCTCTCTGTTTTGTGCATGGTAGTAGAACTGTCACAGGGCAGTAGAGTTATTTTATAAACATTTTATTTCATAAAAATGAAAGACAAACTAGGAAAGGGGGAAAAATTATTTCTGTTTTATTTTCAGCCAAGGTTCTCATTCAAGTGGGTCTTTTGGTGCAAACTTGCTGACAATACCAAAGCAAAGATCATCTTCTCTGATGCTGAGTCACCACATAGGTCCCAGACGAGCAGGTAAGGTCATGTAATTTGTACAGCTTAGGGACAAGGAGAGAAGGTAGCATGTCATGTATTACAATAGGGTTTTTTGAGGCAAAGGTAGTAATAAGATATCATCAGCATGTTGTATACATTTTAAAAATATTTTATTTTTAGCCTGTTTCTAAGAATCCTGAAAATTACAGGTCTGTTTGCCCATATGTGAAAACTTAAAAAATACTTCTTTTGATGTTTTTACCTATCCATTTTAGCATGATTTAAAAATAACTTGTCTAATGATTTTGTTTTATAGAGCATTTTTCTTTAAAAAACTGAAGAAGCAACCAAACCAAAGCAAAAAAAACCGGCCTCTAAACTCACCACTTTTCTCTGTATAAGTTACTGATAGTTTGGTTTTTTCCCTTTCCCTCTTCTAAACACCAAGAACCATGCATCCTCAGGCCACACATGCCTGTAAACACATTGTTGCACATGCTCAATATTTCTGTTTTCACAAGAAGTTGGGCTGCCTTTTGCACTTTCCTACTCTGAATCTTGTGGAAAATACAGAGTGCAACAATATGCACTAAAACTTGCTGAATGTGTACAACTAAATAAAGGATGGAATTAAGTAATCAGTATTAGAATATTAATCTCTCTTAGTTTTGGAATCATAGAATCAAGGTTGGAGGTGACCTCTAAGATCATTGAGGCCAACCATTAACCTGTTACTCTGCTGGAACCACTAAACTATATCCTCCAGTGCCAGATACAGACACCTCCTAAACACTTCCAGGGATGGTGACTCCACCACCTCCTTGGGCAACCTATTCCAATGCCTGAACACCCTAATGGTGAAAATATTTTTCCTAACATCTAATCTGACTCTACCCTGCTTCAGTTTATGGCTATTCCCTCCAGTCCTCTCTGTGCAGCCATGGCAGTAGAGACCATCCCCCACCTCTCTCCAAACCCCTGTCAGGTAGTTGTAGAGAACCATGAGGTCACACCTGAGCTGCCTCTTCTCAAGGCTAAACAAACCCAACTCCCTCAGCTTTTCCTCATATGACATGTTATAAATTGCTTCTTAACTTTCCTAGTCTTTCTTTGCAGAAGTGAAGTGACATTGGCTTTCTAAAAATTCTGCCTCTTCACCTAGCAATGTGGACTTTGAAAAACCTTATCTTTTACTGTACCAAAATGTAATCATATACTACTTTCAGGGTGTGTGAATCAAGTCGGCGTTGTCTATGCTGTTGAAAATGTGTAATCTATGCATTCCTTATTTAAGGGAAATATTGTATATTTTCTTATTAATTTGGTTTTGGGCATTGTACAGTCATGAATCTTACGATGGAGTTTTTGTTTCATAGTTTACAGCAGAATAAAGAATTCACCTTTGGAATGTCCACAGCATGCCTCCTTATTTTGCTTATGGCCCATTTATTCTTTTTGATAAGCATATGTTTACAATGGCTATAACTACTTTGGTCACTTGTAGATAACTCATCTTTGTATATTTTCACAAGGGAAAGAAATAATGTTTTGGCTTAATGCAAAATTTTGCTATAAATTCATAATAGGTGCAGTGTCTGGAGTCTAGCTTTTGTTCCTAGATTTCACAGGCAGAGCTTATGGCCCATTTATTCTTTTTGATAAGCATATGTTTACAATGGCTATAACTACTTTGGTCACTTGTAGATAACTCATCTTTGTATATTTTCACAAGGGAAAGAAATAATGTTTTGGCTTAATGCAAAATTTTGCTATAAATTCATAATAGGTGCAGTGTCTGGAGTCTAGCTTTTGTTCCTAGATTTCACAGGCAGAGAAGCATA